CCACCAGTATTAGAAATTATCGAATCTCGATCAGTAAATTCCTTTTTTTAGGAGTGAAATTGCTCCCTCGTTTCGTTTTAATCATATTCTTATCCATTTTGTTGTTGATACTACTTCAGTAAAGAGGTTATGTGACACAAAAGAAAACATGAATTATGTGATTAATACTGAATAATACACAAAATCATCTCCACGACAACTCAATTGTAAATAATCACATCGAGGGAACATGTTTTCAGACATATAGGTTACTTATATACGTATATGTCCGAAACCATGTTCCCTTGATGTGATTATTCAAAATTAAATTGTTGTGGAGAGGATTTTGTGTATTATTCAGTAATAAATCACTGAACTCCACTGTGAAAAGAAACGATAGACTTCTGCCAGAGATCATGAATTGTAATATGTGGTATGCTATCCTGCCGTTATCTGACTTATCCTTTATCCGCCAGTTGAAACTAACAGTTCAACTGTTGAATAAAACTTCACCGGATGTCGACAACCCCAACCCTACAGATACATAATAAATTGCATTTGATGAACCTGACATCAGGGTTCTTAATAGATATGTTGGCGTCAATTATTAGTGAAATCCGTCATTCCCTGAAACGCAAAGTCATTTCACGCATTGCCGTCAAACATCGTAACAGCGTAACCTCCATTTCGGTCGTTACTTTTTGATGTTTTCCGGAAGGTTGAGGACGAAAAATATCCTTTCTGCATAAGCATAAAAGAGGATACTACTTTTTTGAACAAAATCTGACCAAACTCGACCTAAATGAACCTTCTTCATTAAAAGTATATTCTTCGAAAAATTACTTGAGAGAACAAAAGAGACTACCTACTGTTTCTGAACAACCTAACCTGGACTCGGCCTAAATGAACTATTACAGTCAAACGGTGTACGAAATTTAGAGTTACGCTGTTTGCCGGCAATACGTGAAATTACTAGGCATTTCAGGGAATGACGGATTTCACTGTTTGACGCTGACAGATATATGAAATAAACACATAGCATAATATTCTTTGTGCTATACTGACCTAGAAAATCTGCTGGCGCCGTGCCTACGAACCCGCCGGCGGCCGCAGCGGCTGCGAGATGATTCAAATGCAACGTCGTCGTCGTGCTCGATTGTGGCATCGCGACGCTATCCGACGCTCTCCCGCCGATAATTTGTCGCGGCCTGGGCGCCAAAATACTCTCGATCGTGAACAGAGACGAAGGCGGCGATGACATCGACGGAGCCCTCGACCGGATCCCGAGCGACGTTTCGACCATTTTGACGTCTTCCTCGACGAAATCGTCCCAGCAGCAGTCGTCCGAAGCAGCCAGCGTGAAATTCAACGTCTTGATGGTTGTCGTAACGAGCCCGGTTGACGAATACGCGAAAGTGTCGTTAACGAGCGACACCCGAGCGGTGGCTCCGCCCCCTGCGGCTTGCCATTGGCCAGGTGGGCCGGCCACGACGAATCGGACGAGAGCGGAGAGCGCGAGGGAGGGGGAAGACAGCGCTAAACGGTACAAATAGAGCTGTCACTCTGCGAAATCCGATATGCGTTTTATATGGGGGATGTTTCGGTGTATCGCTGGCTTGCTTCATTGTTGTCGTCGCGTTTGTCCTATGTAAGGGCGGTCGGTCGGTAGCGGAGGGACGCTAGGGGTGGTTCAGATAATCTGGTCCCATTTGTAAATCGAATGTCTCTCTACCTCGGGATTATGTTTAAACTGCTCTATTGAAAAATTAACGTTCGCTAATATCCTTTGCCTGTTTTTTTTTCGAAGGTTTTTGTATTATCTTGTTTGACATGACTGTTCAATTATTATTTCGTTTATAAAAATGATTAAACTTGGGTAGGAGAATATTTAGAGAATTGTAACAACAGAATATCGTGCATTTCGTCAATGACTTCATTTTCCTTTTGCTCATATTTTGTCATGAGTAGGTATATTTGTTTCATGTAATCTACACGGAAAGAAAGGATTGGTTGCATCAACCAGATACATGATTATTTCATGGAAGCAGCTTGTGTCAAGAACAAATTATGTCGGTCCAAAATAATGTAGATGTTGATTCAACTATACTTATTTTGTTGATTTGATGAAATAATAATTATTTTGACGAAAATATATATTTGAAGCAACATACAAGTTTTCTTATTCCGATGTAGCAATGAACAAACAAACAAACAAAATATGTAGTATCATCATTCGCCTCGTCTATGCATGCCTCGAATACATCATATTCTTGAGGCCGAATTCTTCGTCTTTGAAATATCAGCTGGATAAATCGAACTTAGGATGATTATCCGCAATATTTTTGCATCAGCTGAAGGGAAGTAAAGACTGGCGATCTATGCTAGAAGTCGACTAGTTTCCTAGTTTAGTTTATTCTTTTGATGTTAAATGTCAGAAAACTTTCGAATTAATACTGAATTTGATTCAACAGAACAATTTGTCGAATGAAAATACAATCTCTCTTGAATCACCGAAATATTTCATTGAATCAACCAAATAATTCATTGAATCAACCAAATATTTCTTTGAATCAACCAAATATTTCTTCGAATCAACCAAATATTTAAATGATTGAATCAACTAAATATTTGATTGAATCTCTTGAATATCTTGTTATTTCGAATCGAACAAAATGATTGTTTGAGCCAATTCAATATCTCTTCATGAACAATTCATGGATGTGCTTGATTGAATAAGATCCAGAGTTCATTCAAGACATATTTACTCAATTCAAACTTCAAATTCGCTCTGAAACAAGATATATAGATTTACTCATTTCAAGATTATATTTTGTCTTTGTCGTGCATATATGACACTTTTATTTGCTTCATTCAATTAAATTTTGCTTGATTCAACAATTCCTTTTTTTTTTCGTGAAGTTTTTGAGAAACGTTCATTTCTATTAGTTTCTTCAAAACAACAGAACAACGAGGCCTAGCAAGTGTTGCATGGTGAATTGAAGGTCTTTTTTTCGCCATTCTGGACATTTGCTGAAGGTAATTGAGCCAAACCTATAATAGTATAAAACCTACCAATAATACCAATCATCCTCACTCTATTAAATGCATTTTTCGTTAGATTTCGTCTGCCTACCATACCTCTCTCTATGCTGTAGGTAAAGTCTGTACCTATAATATGTTGGTAATCTCGCTGACCATAACATGAGCTTTGTGTTGGAATAGAGACGCGTCGAATATACCAGATGTGGGGTCGAGATTACGCTAGGGTTGAAATGAATCCACCTCCATCCACAATGTGGATTAAAGTTTTGGAAAAAAGATCATTGCAATTGACAGTTGTGATTTAGGTCGGCTGCAGTGGCGTACATACATTAGAGAGACATAAGCCACTACAATATGAGTACAGGGTGAGTCCATTTAAGTATAATGTCTTACACAATCAGAATTTTGAAGACATTGAACTTGGGAGATAATATCAATTTTAATCTTTGAAGATGCATTTTTGGATCCATGCTTAGAATTCAATTATTATTTGCCACCCAACCAGTTCCTTTTTTTCAATTGTCACGGCCATATTCATTTTCCGCGTCATAAAATTCATAAACTGTTTTATAGAAATTTAGTATTAAATTTGGTAATGACATAACACACTGTATCAAATTATTGCTAAAGTTCGTCTCTTTTTCTCAGGACTCTCTTCAATTTTTGGATCATTTAGTACAGGAGAAGTGGATATATCCCCAAGGAGGTTGTGTATGACAGGTACCGCAGAACCATACACGGAGATTGAGAAAATTTTGAAATCTCTGGTCAAGGAGTACTATAGGTACTGATATCGTCTTCCCAATTAATAATCATGATGAGGAAAGTTCATCAGATCAGATGATCCCAATTATGTGATGGTGAGTATTATTCATGAATTCAATCAATTCAATATTGAATTCATATTTCGATTCTACACATTTCTTGCAAGAAGAAGATGATAAACTGTGGTAGCAATTAAATAACGTCCGTTGAGTGTCATGAAGGATAAATGGGAGAGTACATTCAAATAATAACGGATACAAGAAATTACAGATGAAGAGAATAATTCTGTAGATATTTTCTGAAGTCGACCACCATGTAATTAATAAACTTGTGGAGATGACTTTGGGTGTCTTCATCTATGAAATACACCACTATGAATTACCATGGACTTCTTCCAAAAATTATATATTAATTTATTTTGTATATTATGACGCCGCTACTGATGGTTTGCCGGATTATGCGGCGATGCAGATCGTTTTCAGTTCTAAATTGAAGAACGAATCCATATAGGATAGGTACATAATACATATAGCAATATATTTATTTTCCAACTCGAAAAATGACAAGAATATTAACAATGAAAGCAATTTGCCTGGCCCGTGTGAACCATTCACATTAAGAACGTGTAAAATTGTCGGTAAAAAGCACAAGGTGCTTTATTCAATCTAGCGTATAAACCCATCTGTTATGAGTTCATATCTTCTAAAGAATAAAATCTTGTTAAATCTGCCTTCAACTAGGTAGATAGCCACGCATTAGGTATATATCGTCATTTTTCAGTGGATGGCCCCACGCAGCTGATAATGCAGAAATTATTCCGTCGATTTAGTCTTATTCCAAAAAATCTACTGCAAAAAGAATTAATCTAAGCACAGTTTGAAGAATATAATGTGATCTGACGACTTTTTTTCAATTGATGTCAATATGGCTTATTTTTATTTGAAGTATAGTAAAAAAAATATTTCAATAGTATAATATTATTATACAGACTGCGATCCCGCAGATGTACGCGAACACTCTAAGACTTCGTTTATAATGTTGTATAGACGCCCGAAATAATTTATTTATACATAATTTGTTGTTATTGTTATTCTGTTTGGATATCTTGTTTTATCAGCATTAAACAGAATTTGCTGCGATGTGATTCCCAATGTTTTCTTTATAAAATAAAATGCCTGCGTCATCTTATAAATTTAATATACTAAGTAGAATGTTATTCGTCAGTTCCAATCTAGTGAGCCATTAGTGAAAAAACATTATTTCTCAATGAAGTGCTTGCAAGTGGTAACATATCTTGCGGTTTTATTTTCCGAAGTGTTCACAGTATCACCAGGTAAGTACCCAAAACGATGATTAAACAACAACCATATTTTTATTATTAATATTCAAGATTGAGGAAAACAAGTTGGTTAATAGTGTGTTGGACATCACAGACAAATTTGATAACAAAACCACTGTGTTGGACAAGGATGAGTATTTCCATACCTTGTATAAACATTATTTTCACTAAGGTATTAACATTTTTCTGGAGTGTTTTGGTACACCACGAAACGCCGGCTTTCCAATTTGACAATTCCATTTTGTAGAAGAGGAAAAATGGCAATGATGAAGTTCATTTTGAGATATTGCGCTTCAAATAAACTCTGAGAAATATATAAATAAAAACGATTCTGTATCTTTTCTTTTTCTCCGGATATCTCCGGAAATAATGGTCATTTTTTCAATTTCAAAGCAGCATTTTGTTGAGCATGAATTGTGCAACTTTGCCCTCATTTGACCAACACTGTATCTCTCATGGTTACTCTGAAATTCCCATGCTTGGCCACAAATTTGTAACACACCCTGTATGTATAGGTGAATAGCTTCTTGTTTTTCTCACAGATTGGCCGAGAATATGTCCCGATATTGTGAATAAAAATCGCTGGGGAGGAAGAATTGCTGTCGCTGTGGATTATGCAATTATTCCAATAAAATATGTCATAATTCATCATACTGTAACTCCAGAATGTGATTCACAAACTTCCTGTGCCAATATTATGAAGAGCATTCAAAATTTTCATATGGATACAATGGATTTTCATGATGTTGGATATAAGTAAGTATACCTACCTACTTATCAAAATGAAATTGACCGAATACAGGGTGTCCGCTAAAAGGACGTCAATCCATGAACCATACATTCCTTGATCGAAAACAATATGTTGCATTGATGCTTATTCGCGGGAATGTTACCAGGTGCCGCTCGGTTTTCATCGTTCCATGTCAAAGCCACGTCAAAACTGTGGGAAAACAAACTCAATCCTCACTCAATCCCATTAGTGACATAGCTTATTGTGTACTGTGTACTGATAAGTTTTTAAATTTCTTGACATTAATTGTCAATATTCGATCGAAAACGCCTGTTGTAGATGTTCTTTTGGCAGATATTTTGCTCTATTTAGATGGAAAAAGCCGACCAGTAGTGAAAGGAGAAGCAGTTCTCCGCGCTAATCATGTGATTTTGTGTGAGGCAGAAGACTTCAACAAAAGGCACATTTTTGCACTTAGTCTACAAACTTCGGCGATGAAATTTTCCCCACATGAAGTAATATTGAAGTTGGGGTCCAGAGGAACTCCTGTAGAACAATGGATTTGTATTTGTTCCTGCAAAGCAGTACAATCTGGGTATTGTAAACATGGTGTGGTGTTCTTTTATATGTCAATTGATTTGCTTGTCATAATTAGTTTCAATTGTTTGAACTATCTCCAATTCTTTACCCGTTCACTGTTCACTAAACTAATAAAAATGTAATAATGTAAAAAAAATGACCAACTCAACCATCATCACTACCAACAGTGCCAACACTTTATGCCATGTCATTGACAAGTTTGACTACAGCTACAGCAATGTAGTCTATGCACTTTATCCATGGACAACAGTTTGTTTTCCCCCAGTTTGAAGTTCGTATTACGTAACCTAGATGTCGCCCACTTATTCGTGAATCTCGCGAATCTTGTGAGGGATTTTTGTAGGAAGAAAACAGATTATCTGAAATTTGTGGCATAGGCCATTGTTGCGCTGATAGCCTCTGGTATCTCTCTGATCAATCTGTATTAACTGTGTAGCGTACTGTGTAGAGAACGCGAAGTACTCTAAATTGTTGTTGTTGCTTTGTTGTTTTTTAGCTTCGTAGTAGGTGGTGACGGGAAAATTTATGAAGGCTCTGGGTGGCACAAAGTTGGAGCTCACACTCGTGGATATAACAGCAGATCGATAGGACTTGGCTTCATTGGAGATTTTTCGAGTGAGTCCCGCGAAATTCATCATAATCATCTAGCTGGATCCAGATATTTTTCAACATGTTCACAGCGGGTAGACAAAATGCCCATTCTATCAAAATTTCTTAGAATTATTTCTTCAGATAATTTCTACGAATGCCTGCTTTTATAGGTACCTACCTATTTATCATTATTCTTTTAGGTAAGAGGCCACTAAACTTGCAAATTAGAGCTGCTAAAGATTTTCTGGAGTGTGCAATACAACTGGGAGAACTGGATAAAAATTACGTACTATTTGGAGCTAGACAAGTCAGTGCCACGGCAAGTCCAGGTTCTCAATTGTTCAAGGAAATACAGAATTGGACGCATTTCGTTCAAGTGCCGTGAATTTTCGAAATGTACTACAGATAATAATAAAACAACATTCTGACTAAACTGAAAATGTTATTTTTGTTCATAAATTATTATATTGGGAGAGGTACTAAATTCAGTTTTTGGTTGTGTAGGTATTCGCACGAGGGTGAGAGAAACTCGATGGTTCAGCTCTATGAAAAGAAAAGTAAAAACAATAGGAAAAAAATTAAAAGAGATTATGCAATACAAAAGAAAGAAAGACGAGATAAATTCGTTAAATTTTGGTCCTATCTTGTTTATAGTTAAAAAGGAATATTGTCAGATAAATCATGAACATCAACAAGAGAAAAATGGATATACATACAGGGTGTTTCAAAAAAACCTAACCCACTTGCTAGTGTAGGTAGAACATTGCAAAATAAGTTGGGTTTGCTCAGTAAAAAAATGTCGTAACGGCATCCGATTTCATGATACAAGGTGAATTAATTATTTTTTTACACATTTTTCACGATTATTCCGAAACTACTGGCAACATTGCTATTAAATTATGTATGGATGTTTCTTGGAATCTGACACATCGCATAAATTCGTTTTTATATCTGACTCTCATAGAGGGCGCTAGTTACAGGGTTCGTACCGAGTAGATTTGAACATAACTTTTTTGAGGTTAGATTTTTCAATCCAAATATGATATGAACTTGTACATCATTCATTTTATCTTCATTGCTCAGTGCATCCTGCATAATCGAGGCATTTCTTAATCTGATTTGCCCAATTATAGTTGATATTTTGTGAAAGGCAAATCTTTGGGAGACGCTCGGTTCTCATTTCTAAAATTTTTATAAGCCAGTTCAATGCATGTTTGGATATAAGGTACGCAATTTTAGATTTTTCTGTCTCCAATCGTACCGCAAAATCTGCGGTGTTCCTTGGAAGCAACAAAATTCTTTTGAAAAAAAGTTATTTGGATTTTTTTCAGTACCTCTGCATATCGAAGTCCCCACACAGGTATACAGTTAGTCACTATGCTAGTCACTAATGAATCAAACAACTGGACACGAGAATACCATGAGTTGATTCTTGCTCCAGTTATAATCGGTATTACCGAACCTATTGCTTGTTTCGCTTTCTCGACTGTACAGAAGGACATTTCTCGGAAGAAAGATGACGATGAGAATTTCACACCGAGGTATACAAACGATTTAACGGTTTCTATTTTATCAACACCATAGCAGAAATTATAGGAAATTGGAAGAGAGGGGCCCCTAGAGAAAACCATAACTTTTGTTTTGTTCACATTTATGGTAAGTAAATTACGCTCGCTATATTGTCTGAGAATTTTGAGTTTACGTTTCAAGTCAACTTCACTGTCGGAGATAAGAATAAGAAGATCGTCCGCGTAGAGAAGCATCATCACTTCGTTCGAGCCATAATATTCACTCCTTTAGCATCTACAGTAACGAAAAACTTCTCGATGTCGGCAAGAAACAAGGAGAAAAGTAAAGGGCTCAAGGTTTCACCTTGAAGCACACCTGTCGTAATATCCACTGGACGAGCCAGACCCTCCATTCCTATAACTCTCATAGATGCATTTTCGTAGATTTTTTTAACGAGCGTAATGAGCCTACCGCGAACACCTAGGTGAAACAGTATTTTTGCCAGAGAAGCGAATGACTTATAGAATCAAAGGCCCTTTTAAAATCCACGAAAGCAATGAAGATTTTCCTACACAATTGTTTCCAAGTTACAGGCTATTCATATTATGAATCTACTGTTTTTGAAACATTGAGGTGTCCTCACCTGTCGGCAGATTGTGGACTGTGAGGAAGGTTTAATTACTACGTTTGAACATTTTCTAAATGACAGTATGAACGATTTCCAGATTTCTTGGGATTTTCTCTCCTCGTCTCTATAAAATAAAAATATGGATACTATTTCAATATACGTGTAGTGAGGACGAATCAGATGATTTGCCCCAAAATGTCACTGCGTTTAAAGAAGTTTCCTATCAGAGAGCCTAAAAGGAAAATTCACTAGCTTGTGGGTGACAATTTGTATTGAAAAATATCTGGAGAAGAGAAATAAAGGTATATAGAAAAAATGTCACATTTTCACTTATCTTCGGACGTTTCGGGAACGAATCTGCTCCCGTTTTCAACTTAAAAAATGGATTTTTGTTTGACAAATTCTGATAGGAAAATTCTATAAACGCAGTGACATATTGGGGCAAATCATCTGATTTGTCCTTACTACACGTATATTGAAATAATATTCATATTTTTTTATTTTATAGAAATGTCATTTGTCAAAATTATTAATTCCTTTTACAAAATGTTTCGCCGCCACTGTCGTTGGTGGCGGGATGTAAACAAAGATAGTCATTTGTCATCTTAATGAAAAGGCATCCTTGTATCATTCACTGAACGAAAAATAGAAAAAAAAAACAACACAATGGCGAATATTTCTGTGTAATCCTTGACTTTAATCTTTAATGAGTAACATTAAGTTTCACGCTTTAAATAGCGTTAGTATAAGGAGTACCAGCTGACAACTGATATCACAACCAGTAACTCAATCATGTTTTTTTGTATAACTCTCGATGTTCCTCCATTTGGATCTGGTGTAGTAGTCACTGGGCCTGATGTTGTTGTTGGTGCTTTTGTTGTTGGTGTTGTTGTAGATATTTCATAGTATTCATTCAGATCTTCTTCGAATTGCTGCGTCCATCTCAAATTGGCCTCTGCCGTTGTAATGATAGCATTTGCTACAGTTACATATTCGTTTTCTAGATTGGAACTTGCTGTCAAATTTCTCAACTGAAAAAATTCAACAAAGTTGGAGTAACTTGCATAGTCATCATATATTATGTAACTATCATGTGTGACATTATGGCGTCATTGACAACTACTTCACTCAGCTACCCCTGTTTTTGAAAGTATTATATTCGAAGAAAACTCAATGTATTGAATGCAGAACCATATTTTCAAACACAGGGGTTACTGATAGACAACTCCAAATGGCATTGAGAGAGTCTGTAGGTTAATCGAGGAGGTGGTACATTCATTTCACTTGATTCTTTGGGATTTTCTCTCCTCCTTTCTATAAAATAAAAGTATTCGTATTATTTCAATATATTTGTAGAGGGACAAATCAGACGATTTGCCACAAAATGTCACTGCGTTTAACAAATTTTTTTATCAGGGATTCTAAAAGAAAAATCCAGTAGCTTGTCAGTGACAATTCGTTTGAAAAAATGTTTGAAGGAAAGAAATATAGATATATTGAAAAAATATCGAATTTTTACTTATCTTTGGACGCTTCGGGACCGATTCTGCTCCCGTTCTCAACATGTAAATGCAAATTATGTTTCTTTGAAAGTTGTGCTGCGAGAGATGTATATAGAAAGGACCCCGCACTTTTAGTACGTAAAATGGTTCTCGGTGAAATTTTCTGAATTTTCAGTATGTTGTAGAATTCGATGAACTGATTGAACCTGCAGAATCGTAAAGTTCTTTGATGAACAGATTCTGAGATACAGGGCGTTGAAGTTACAAATCGGTATTTTTCATTTAATTATTTTCTCGAAATTCAAAGATGCCAAGTACAATTTTCTTCGCTCATATCATTAACGAACCTCCATATTACTCAACATAATTCAGATGTTTCAGATGATGTAATTGTTTACAGAGTGAAACATATAAACATTTCAGTGATGTCTGAAAATTCGATGTATTAATGAAATATCGAAAAAATAATTTGGGCATGCAATATACTATTCTCATTCCATCATGAATCACAATTCATACATTTCATACAGGGTGATTTGAAAAATTGGTGACACCTAAGACCGATTTATTCATACACATCCTGTATATTCGAGTGAATTGTTAACCTCCCAAGATAGCTGATACCGTATGAACATGATTTCGTTGAGATATATAGGGTGATCATGAAGATTTTCGATGATGAAAATGACAAAAAATCGTGTTTTTTTAAATCACCCTGTTATTCATGATTAACTCGGTGAAATTCCCTAATTATTTTTTAATATATTCATCATTCGCTCCTCAACGCTGTCTTGAAAATTCAGTTTCCTATCATGACGGGTGTCATAGTTATTAATGCAGGAACTTACCATTTGCATGAAGAGTTGAAGAGACTTGTTCACTTACATTCGCATAGTGGCCGATATTTTTCACAAATAGTGAAACGTGGGAATGTGGAGACGAAAATAAGTTTAGTATTCATATACAGGATGAACATTAGGAATTCAATAACAATAGCAGATATATGAATTTAATAATATTAATATAATGTACAGATAGTTAGGCGAATTTCGTTGGTATACAAGCTCTGCCAAAATGAAAAACGAACCCTTCACGCAAATGGTAAGTTCCTGAATTAATAACTATGACACCCGTCATGATAGGAAACTGAATTTTCAAGACAGCGTTAAGGAGTGAATGATGAATATATTAAATAATAATTAGGGAATTTCACCGAGTTAATCATGAATAACAGGGTGATTTCAAAAAACACGATTTTTTGTCATTTTCATCATTGAAATTCTTCATGATCACCCTATATATCTCAACGAAATCATGTTCATACGGTATCAGCTATCTTGGGAGATTAACAATTCACTCGAATATACAGGATGTGTATGAATAAATCGGTCTTAGGTGTCACCAATTTTTCAAATCACCCTGTATGAAATGTATGATTTGTGATTCCTGATGGAATGAGAATAGTATATTGCATGCCCAAAGTATTTTTTCGATATTTCATTAATACATCGAATTTTCAGACATCACTGAAATGTTTATATGTTTCACTCTGTAAACAATTACATCATCTGAACCATCTGAATTATGTTGAGTAATATGGAGGTTCGTTAATGATATGAGCGAAGAAAATTGTACTTGGCATCTTTGAATTTCGAGAAAATAATTAAATGAAAAATACCGATTTGTAACTTCAACGCCCTGTATCTCAGAATCTGTTCATCAAAGAACTTAACGATTCTGCAGGTTCAATCAGTTCATCAAATTCTACAACATACTGAAAATTCAGAAAATTTCACCGAGAACCATTTTACGTACTAAAAGTGCGGGGTCCTTTAACTGGTGCGCTTGCTCCCTATTGAAGTTGTTTGCAAGTTTCGATGGCGCCTACTCTGATGAACATATTACCGACCGATAAATATTTGAATACGTATATGATTTGGATCAGAGCAGTGAACTGATTCCTGATCCAAGGATCGAAACGTCAATATGTCAAAAATATTCTTGAGCTGAAAAGTTGGTTATTTCTGAAATTGGGGTCAAGTGTTCGTTAGGGACGTGTTCCGTAGTTTCTAAATTTTGTGTATAAAAGAATATACCTTGTGTTTGTGGAAAGTATCATACAGGTGAAACGAAAAGACCTCTCTCAGTAAGGACTAAAGAACACAAGTACAATATCAAGAAAAGACATATCGATAAATCGAAGCTAACTGAACATATCCTTACTGAAGATGGACAACATATGGCAGAGTGGAATAATATCAAAATCATAGGAAAGGAAGATAACAACCAATGAAGAAAAATCAAGGCATCCGCTTGCATTCTTCTAAACGGAGACAATAGCATTGCTTCCTGTTCAGTTGATATAGATAGAACATGGTATTCACTACTGAAAGCTGAACATGAAAACGGTAGATTCAAGATCAATTAATGAAAACATCCTGTAACTCATTTGTAGACTAAAATCACTCATTCATATGCCAAAATCAGCATGACACTGAAAAGCACTGTATATATATACACATGAACATAGGAAAAGAAAATCTCACTCACCATATCAATCTGCTCTTGTGTGGTCAACTTATTCGCCAGATTCGTCAACATATTTGTTACAGAATTCAAGCTCTGATACCTGAAGAATACGTTTGCAAGATTAGTTTACTTAAAACTTTTTAAAATTCGATATTACTAACTTTTCAATAATTTCGGTATGATTGTTTATCAAAAACCTAGCAGCTACATCAATTCCCAATGTATTTCTACTGAGAACTGACATGAAAACGGTGTATCGATCTTGGGATCGAATTCCAGAAGTGTCATTCAGCGTCATGTTGAGATACCTAAAAGTTTTTTGGTTCGTATTATAATTTTAATTCAATTATTGTATTTCAAATTAGTCAGTTGAAGTTCGGATTTGCTAGAAACGCCATGAGGCCTCAGCCTATATCAACCCATATTTAATTCTATAAGTAATTCTTGATTCAATGTTTTTGACTGATTTGAACAAATACAGAGTGTTTTGTAATATATGTGGACGCACTTTGAAACGTGATAGGGCATCTCAAGAAAATATAGATAATCGCCAATCAAAAATTCTTGATATTCTGGTGCATAACTCAGTGTCTGAAAGTGATTGAATGGGTAGAATGGCACCGTTAAGGGGTATTTATGTGTGATTTATCAGAAAAAAACATGGGTGACAATGAAACTTTTCGAAATTTTATTCTAACATAATGAAAGAGGATGCAAAATTTGATGTAGATGTCCGAGGATGTTGGATAGTTCATTCAAGACATCTGTACAGATTACTCTATAACCATGATAGATATCATTCTGTAATTGTGGCACTATGCTAGTAACATGAACTAAATTTTGCCACCACGCGACAAGCCATACAGGGTGGACATAAAAAAATCTATGAATCTTTTCAACTTCATCATACTTTTTTACTTTCTCGAGACGCCCCATCACCTCTCAAAGCGAACTAATTTTTATATTTTTGTCACCTCTGTTTGGGGATTATAAGTAGAAAAGTTTATCTCAGTGTTCTCACCTTTCCAACAATGTCACATTCATAGAACATCCTAGAGCATTCAATATAGTTGTTTTTTCGGTGGCAAGAGTAGCCTTCGAGTATTCATTCCACAAAAATTCCCAATCTCCACTGTCGTTGCTATGTCTCAGGGCAGTGCAGTAGACGGTACTCCGCAAATTTTTATTCGGTCTTCAACAAAATTAAATTGATTAATCGAATACCTATTTGAAAAACTCTATGAGAATATCAACTGTGTTGCTAAATTCAACAATTTAGTCAGGTTGTCAACACCAGTGGTGGGGGTATTGAACAAGAAGAAGAAATTGAGACGGGTTGTGTTGCTCAATTTAACTGGTGAGCAGCTTGATGAGCGTTTAAATCATTCATCAATAGGAACTAATAAGGAAAAAAGCTTTTTCCAGCAACCCCTCCGGGAAGTGCTCACTACCCGGAAACTTATTTTTTGAGAAAGTAGTATTTTTCCGGCCTAGTCCGGGAAGTATTACATCGTTGTTTTCACTGTAACTACGAAAATCTTGGTACATAAGGATTTGATAGATGCAGATGATAATTATTACCATAGCAGCAAAATATCGGCTGACAGCTATTTGACGTGAAATTAGTTGACATTTGGATTTCTGAAAGTTTGCTTGCAATGGGCGTGTACACCTTGGTAGAACTTCTAACTCAAACCATGTTTATAATGATCCTTTTATACATAAATAATGATTGACGACATGATTCGATCGAAAAATTAACTGGAATGTTTTATTTTTGGACATAAATAATAGAACCTTCTGAAAACGGACCGCTCTTATGACGTAGAAACCTCATCTCGCTATAGTTGAAAGAAAATTCCAAACGCCAGACGGAGACTGAGGCAACTGATATATTAACTCTTTCAACTGTGATCTCGTGCTGATTCACTCTGTCAGAAATCATGCATCATTCATCTCTGTCTGGAATAGTCTTGTTTCAGTATTAGGGTTTTGACGTCACATCATCGCCTCTTTTCCAGAGGTCCGAAAAATCGAGGATTTCAATAATTTTTTATAAAACGTAGGGAGCTCACAGCAAGAAACGGTTTGCGGTGGTGAGCTAGATTGGGTGAGTTCTATCGAATTATGATATAACAACTTTTTGTGATATAAGCCCATTATCGCAACAAACTATCGAAAGCAGTAGCGATAGTGAGTTTGAAAACATCCATACGAAATTCCCAATGTAGCAGTTAGTAGATATATGTATTCTGTTCAAATTTCAGTATTTGATACAATCAAGAATTGATAAAAACAATCTGTATTCCACAAAGGGATATAATATGGAAATGTGTCTCACTGAATTGTTATTCTACATATGGTTGCCGAAAAATTAGTGCACGCAACACGTCCAAAAACAGTTTTTTTGGACTCGCAGATTTCCAGGAATCGACTACCGCTCGGCCTAGAATTTTGTCTACACATCCAAAAATACAGTATTTTCCGGACTTGTTACATGAATTACTATTTTCATTGCAAATTTCAGTCAAAAATTGTTTTCAATCCATCAAACTTATAACGTCACTATGGGAGGAGATGCACCATACTGGTGAAGTTAGCAACATAGTGCGAGTATATAAAATAATAACTTATTATTATTATTATTATTATATATCTTACCGGGTTCCATTAGCTCTGTATTCTGTATATTGTGTCCTTGAATGTTGTGTACAGGCTTGGTTGTTCAAAAGACATGCCCAAGAATAAGCTAGGGCTTGTTTCAAACTGTAAATTTGATCGGTTTCGTTTAGTGTCGTGATTGGAGTAGAATCGTACAAGTTTGTCATTAAAGGTACAAGGTGGTTCTGAAACGATAATAAAAATTTTAATTCGATAATGGAAGATTTTTAGATACATATCTTATTACAGCTTTGTTGCTTGTCCAACAAAGTTCCACTGAATTCTCAATTGTTTATATGTATTATATCTGATAGGAACTAATTTTTAGGTTAGACAGATATAATCACTCATATTAATTTTGTGTCTGAAACGTCTCTTGTCCATAATGAGATTTTTGGTTCAAGTTTCGTTTAGCTGAAATCAGTTATGGAAAATTTGTTGCTATGGCAACCATTGTAATGGTAACAGGTAAACAGAAAACAAAATCCCGTGGTGAGGAAATGCATGGTCGCCAAGTTGTATCGGGTGTAGTTTAGCTGTTTTTCCCATTTATTGATTAAGAAATGTCACAAGAGTGTCAGTTCAAAATGTCTTCGTTCGGCGAACTTTCTCTTCCGAGAAGTCAGAAAGAGTTATGAATTTGCTCTGAGTCAAGGTTTTGTGCCAGCAAAACCTTATTGAAAGTCCAAAGGGACACAAATATACGGAAATATGATTTTTGTTTACTCGTTACCATGGCAATAGTTTTTCCATAACTAATTCAGCCAAACTAAACCCGATACAACTTGGCGACGATCGTCGCCATGGCAACAGTTTTGCCATAACTGATTTCAGCTAAACGAAACTTGAGCCAGTTTTTTTCAGTGAAGGCTTACAAAATGTCACAGTTCATGGCCTTTGTTGGACCAGTTCCGAAAAATAAGTGGGTGGGGCGGACCAAAAAACGCACTGTACACTGTATATACTAACTAACTAAATATTTGCAAGAAATTTTGTATAACTGAAAGAATGATTGATATCCTACCGAAATACTTGTGCCCAAAGTGGATTCTCGTCCGACTCTCTCCAACAAGAAATTGAATCCGTTGAAAGCTGGAGTCCAGCTGAAGTAGGACGTGTCATTGCTCAAGAACTCGATCAATCTGAAGACTTCCGAATATTTCATTCGATTCGTTCTGGCCAAATTGAAGAGATCATCGATTATTTGAGCTCTATTGAGTTCGTGAATGTCTCCAAAATTTTCAGTTCGGAGAGCCATATCGATTCTGCTCCACAGGGTTTTGTCGTAATTCACCCTGAAGAATCCTGAAACGGGGCAAAATTCCATGTGTACAGGGTGATCGTTTATATGTTACTCAATGGCTATTAAAGTGGTCAAAGAATTGAGTGGACCACTGGAATTTTCGACGTTTCTTAAAATGTGAAAACTTTTTTGCAAATCTACCGATTTTCGATCGAAATGCATGCAGTGTTCAAAAGATGCGTTCTGTTTAAGATTCATTGTTTGAAACTTTCCTTTTGAACGCTGCATTCTGATTGAAAATCGGTTGATTTGCTAAAAAGTTATCGCATTTTAAAAAACGTCGGAAATTCCAGAGGTCTGCTTATTTTTTGAGCACTTTACTTAGTTAATATTGGTCTTATAGAAACGTTAAAAGGGGCAAAAATTCAAAAAAGCATCGTAGACCCAAACATTCTACATCACCCAGTCATTTCGAAATATAACACCCTGTCTTTTATTCGTTCTTCTGATTTCAAATATACCGGGTGTCATCGAATCTATTAGACAAGTCATAACTTCTAGACTATTAGGTGTATCAAAATGAGATTTGGTATAGGTAAATGGTGTGTGAAGAGGAGGCTTTTCACCAATTTTTCACTTTCCGGTCACTTCCGGTTTCACCGGGAATGGCTCCGGTTCTAAATTTTTTAATGGAGCACCCTTATTGTAACATTTTTGGATTTCTGAGACAATTCTGGATCAGATTGTGACAGTTTCGAAAGTTTTCATGCCTACTCAATTTTTTCGGAGTCACTTTTGAAATAACATCTAGGTGGCCATGATCGGAAGTAAACTAATCTAAGGACCTCAGGTGATATCAGAAAATTACAATCGCGAAGTTTTAGTGACAAGTATGTTAGATATGAATAAGACAAGTTGGCAAAATTACATTTTCGTGTCTTACCATTATTTCTCAAATGACGACCATTTTTTGACAAGCACTTCCCGAAAAAAGGATATTTTGACGAATCTAACGATACTAATTTATTCGCGATTGGATCAACAAATTTAACAAAATTAACAATAACTTCAGCGATTCACTTACATTTTTTTAAATTTCCTAATTTCTTGAAATTTTCACTATAGTAAATTTTCAAAGTGCATTTCTCCTTGTTCAAGGCACATTTCAGCTCGTCAATTGTTTCTCTCAACATTCCGAAAATACTAATGGAATGGATGTTGCCGATTGGGATATCTCTGAGCATATAACTCAGCAGCATTCCTTGAATTTCTGTGACATTCTCCAAACAATAACAACATATCCACTTTTTCACTTCGAGTATACATTATTTTGACGGAAAATTAAACTAAAATTTAACGAAAATCGAGAAAATTCACTGTCAGTGAAACCGGAAGTGACCGGGAAGTGAAAAATATGTGAAAACTTTCCTCTTCCCATACCATTTATCTATACGAAATCTCATGGTATATTTGCAATCAGAAGAATGTATTAGTGAATTCAATTACAGGGCGTCCCATTTTATTGAACCAGTTCATGTAAAATTTTAAGGTTTATGATGCTTTTTTGCATTTTCTAGTAATATATTCTGAATGCCCATAAAAAATTCTTCATTTTTGCCCATTTGAACGTTTCTTTGACACAATATTGACTGAGATAGCTCTTGAGTAATAATATAAAATATATACAATCACGTTTTTATTCCGAACCAAAAAAAATTACCGGTCAATTGGTTATTAAGGATTATCCAGGTCGAATTTTCGGGAAGAGATATTTCCACAGGAGTACTGTTCGGTCTGAGCCACACTCTTGGTAAAGTAGAAGTGAATTTGTTTCCATCCAAAGAAGTAGTGTAGCTTATAGGAACAAACCATTCCGAGGCTGAACCGTTTCCAGAAAGTAGAAATCTAGACTAAAATCAAAAAGCATTCATGTACGATTTGAATTCTTCATCGTTCAATAATATATGAATAATTCGCTGATGAATGCTTTTTTCTTTTGGTTTTCACATTTATATCACTTTGATAGTGATATTTATTATACCCTATTATACCTACACTATCCTAGGTAGGAATTATATGGGGTTGTCAAAAAACCGGAATTTTCTTTTCGAAAAATAACTTTTTTATTAATGGGCCGAATCAATTGATTTTGGTCTTGTTTGAACGAGAATTGAACAAGACGAAACGTCAACTCCATATTCATCGAATTTTTTCATAAAATAAAATGGCAGACACACCGAAACTTGGCCGAACTTGAAAACTTGCTGGAACTTTTTTGAGTCACTCATTAGGTGCGTTCGGTTTAACAAAATCGGAGCCGAGCGAGCAGATGCAGATTTGGTGTCACGTGATCACCTAGCAGATAGAGCTAATGGTATTCAACGAACGCTCAACGAGGTAGTAAATAGTAGATTGCGAGCGCCAGCTGTCAGAAGTAACAGAAAACAGAAACAATTCACTTAACCTTATTACTTTTAAAAACACGTCAGGGCAACAAAGTTCTTTTGAATGTTTGTTGTTTATATTTTGAAAATTACTAGGGAAGGAATGATTCTGTCTCATATGATCGGTCATTAACTGTGGATCCAGGGCAGTTGTGATCGCATATATTACAGATATATAATTAATATGCTACCTACAGCAAATTCGTCGGTCATTCTGGCGATTCTGGGCAAGGAGGATTCTACAAAATTCAGTTTCGTGTTTCGTTTCCAGTGGATCGAGTCTTCAATTTTTCGACATAAAAGAGATATAATTTCAATAACATGTTGTTGACATTGATTTGTTGACAATTGACAACCGAATAACCGATCAAATCTGAATGATCTGCTCCTCAAGGCGGAGCAAACAGATTACATCTTTCAGCTCGCTCTGACAATTAACGAACACGGAGCAGATTAGACAGAGGAAGTAGATCTGATTTATCGAACGCTTTCCGAGCTAACGGATGGAATCGAGCTAACAGATATGTTATAACCGAACGCACCTCTTGTATATTTTTGCGTCTGATATTCTGAGAGCGTCTACTTTTCTGAACAGAACAGGAGGTCAAACATTCAAATCCGTGGAAAAATAACTGACATATGACTGGAAAATAGCAGGTGTGTTTTCACATCGGGATTCCGATTTGCTTGCGTTTTGTTGGTATTCCTGAAATTTCTGTTCGAAAAATAACATAAATACAAAGATATCTTCATCGTTTCAGATTCAAAATCAATTGAATCGGCCCATTAATGAAAACGTTATTTCTCGACATATACAGGGTGTCCCATTGGGAAACAGAAAAACTTCAACTGTGGGTAGAGCTCATCAAGGTGGTTCTGAATATACCATATTTGTAGGGTCTCGCAAGTTTTATATTCGAGATATAGGGTGTTTTATCAATTTTGCCCAATTATTTGTGGGGACATAACTTACGAACCACTTAGTATATTCTTTTGCAATTTCGTACACAATTCCTTCTTTTTTTACCAAAACGACTCACCTATCAGTCACGAAAAAAATCCAGGTCCAGATCAACAAAAGTTGATAATATTTCTGGACACCCAAAAGAACACCCTGTATTTTCGAATTCTCAAAATCCGCTTACATATTTGGAAAGTGCACAAAAAGCTGAAACGAATGGTATACTTGCCATTTTCCCGCATGCAATTTCACTAAGGAATTTCTAAATTTTAGAAATTTGAAAATACTGGGTGTTCTTTTTCGGGCCCAGAAGATCATAATTCTTCGTTAATCTGGACCTGGATTTTCATCGTGACTGATAGGTGAGTCGCTGGGGTAGAGGAAGGAGGACTTTTGTACCAAATTCCAAAAGAATATACTGGGTGATTCGTGATAGTTTTTGTTATTCGATTGGGAAAACTCAAAACATTTCATTTATACCTATCCAAAAATGCATGAATCCTCATATTCAAAATCAGAAATTACCTAGCGAAATAGCATGCGGAAAAATGGGAAGTACATCATACGATTCAGAATTTCATGCACTTTCCAAATATGTAAGCGGATTTTGGAAATTTGAAAATACAGGGTGATATTTTTGGGGTCCAGATATATGATCAATTTTCGTTGATCCGGTCCTGGGTTTTTCTCGTGACTGATAGGTGAAGGCTTTGGTAGAAGAAGGCGAAATTGTGTACCAAATTCCAGATGAATATACTGGGTGGTTCGTAAGTTATGTCCTCATAAAGTATTGAACAAAATTGATAAAACACCCTATATCTCGAATATAAAACTTGCGAGACCCTACAAATATGGTATATTCAGAACCACCTTGATGAGCTCTACCCACTGTTGAAGTTTTTCCGTTTCCCAATGGGACACCCTGTATATACTGTTGACAGGAAATTAAAGAGTATTTTCAACTTTATTTGAAATTAGTTTGAAGAAATGTACCGGTAAATACATTTCCTTCTTAATATTAGTCATTTTACTTCAAGTATATGGTAGATATTGAAGTAAAGCCACAATAACTCTTGAATAATCATTTACCTGCGTTAATGTGACTGTGTTTCCATCAAGCGCTGCCGTGACCAGCGGAAAACCCGGATTTTTTATCCAATTATCTATTACTACATCCAGGGTTTCATTTATGTTGGAATATGTAGAGTTGATGTGTTCGTTTAGAATAGTCCACAAATTTTCCGGTATTGTATTATTAAACTCACTGAAAATAATATGAATAAACATTTCGTGTGACAACTCCCAGAAACATCATCAGATTCATCATTCAATCAATTGACTTACTGGGTTTTGAGATATGCTTGGAGACCTAATCTAAAATCTGATGCACCCATAACATGTTCAACCATACGAAAGATGCTTCCTCCTGAAAATATATGCTTGTTAATACCTGTAATGGTACAGGTGTAAAATGTACCTAGGTACACTTCACACTTGTAGACTACTTCATTATTTTGTAGTTGTTTAATAAAATAAAGTCGGGGTAAATCGAAATTTTAGTTTTTATTTCTCAAAAAGATAACTTATATGTAACTGCTAGCTGACCCGGCAAACGATGTTTTGCCATAAACATTATTTCTAGAAAATATTTTTTTAGTTAAATATTCATCAGCACAGTTTTGTTATTTCATCTTCTACTTTTTTTTAGTTTGACTATCCATAAAATCGTGTTCCTTCAGTTTTTCAAACTACTATCCATTTTCTAATTCTTTTCGGTTCGACAATCTATCTCTTCAGTTTTCAAACTATCCTATCAATTCTCTACTTCTTTTCAGTTTGGCCTCCAGCTTGGCTATTGAAGCGTGTTTCATTATAGTTTTTCAAACTTATATTTATTACAAAGCTAGTTCGTCATATTGGATCCGCCATCTTGAATTTCCCAATTTTGAAGAAAAAGATCGTAATCTCCGACCCCGAAAACCACCAGATTCAAATTTTGAATACGTATCATAATCACAAAACTCGGCCACCATATTGGATCCGCCATCTTTTACTGACTAATTGTTACGTTGGAATCATAATCTCTGACCCCGAAAATCTCAGATACCAATTTTGAATAGAATTTTATCATAATAACAACTCGTTCACTATATCGGTTCCGCCATCTTAAATTTCTCAATTTTGACGAAAGAATCATAATCTCCTACCACGAAAACACCCATACACTAATTTTGAATAGAATTGGAACATAGTTACAAAACTCGTCCGCCATATTGGATTCGCCATCTTGAATTTCCAAATTTTGATGAAAGAATTATAATTTGCGACCCCAAAATCCCCCAGATACAAATTTTGAATGGAATCATAATTACAAAAAAATCGCCCGCCATATTGGATCTCCCATCTTGGATTTCCAAATTTTGATGGAAGAATCATTATCTCAGAGTACTAAAACCCCCAGATACCAATTTTGAATAGAATCTGATCATAATTAAAGAGCTGGTCTGTGATATTACATCCGCTAAAACACGTCTGCCATATCGGATCTGCCATTTTAAATTTCCAAATTTTGACGAAATAATCATAATCACCGACTCCGAAAACCCCCAGATACCAATTTTGAATAGAATCGGTGCATAATTGAAAAACTCGTCTGCCATATTGAATCCGCCATTTTGGATTCCCTATTTTCGACGAATAAATCATAATCTTCGACCCCGAAAATCTCCAGATACTAATTTTAAATATAATCGGACCATAAATAAAAAAACTCCTCCGCCATATTGGATCCGCCATTTTGAATTTCCTAATTTTGATAAGGAAATCATAATCTGCGACCTCGAAAACCCCCAGATACCAATTTTGAATAAAATCTTACCATAATTACAAAACTCGTCCGCCATATTGGATCCGCCATCTTGAATTTCCAAATTTTGATGAAAAAATCATAATCTCCGACCCCGAAAACCCCCAAATACCAATTTTGAATGAAATCGGATATCAATAAACGTCCGCCATATTGGATCCGCCATATTGGATCTGCCATCTTGAATTTTCGATTTAAAAAATAGATTACGACCGATTCTCATACCCACCGAATTCGCACAAAAAATTTCATACGAATCGGTCGAGCCGTTTCGGAGGAGTACCGCGTGACCGGGACAGGAGAATTTTATATATTAGATTCTGTTGTGGATAGCTTGAACCTTCTTACCTTTACTGTAAGATATCGTGTTGAACTTTGCACTTGCTTCACTTGCTGTTGATACCTTCGATTGGAGTGCCTCGATACTTTCCAGTACATCAAAACGCAAAGCACCCTGTACAACGTTGACTACAAATTGTTTATCGAGTTCCCACTGAGGTAAAACCTATAAGTACATAAAAATAGTATGACATTGCTTCATTAGGCAGGATCAAGAGTGACACTTTGTTTATACCGTGCTCAAACCCTTTTATTTTTTCAACAGGTCAACTGAAGAAATTGAAACTTAGTAAAATGAAATTAATGCATGGATACTATATTTTAGACGGAAATTGACAGATGAAAATTTCAAGATGGCGATTGGGTGCCATCTGGAAAAAAAATTAAATGGGAAGACGGGTCTTGTGACACAACCTTTTGGAGCTGCTGATGAATACTTCACAACGACCCTAGAATATTAAGTCAATATCTTCCCTACTACAAAATGGCGGAACATTTATTAATTGCCTGAATACATCTATAAGCGATCCGAAGGAACGACCCTGTATTTCATGTTCGTTTGGTGTTGATTCACTATAGGTTATGTAAGGAATAACGGCTGGAGCGAATGAGCTGGTATGGAATTTGGGATGATAAGAGGCGAGTCAGTATGCTCAACGCGTTCAGTCGGTGATAAACTGTAATACCTATTTTTGCTATTCAATATACTTGTTCATTTACGTTTTCGGGTTTTTCTGAGTGTTAGTCCAATTTAGCTGTTTATACATCGACGTTCAATATAATAATTTGAGGAAATGAACTTAGTTCAGTGCAGAAGATGCTCAAAATGGTTACCTTGAACTTCTTGACATAAGAACACTTTCGAACACAGGTACGTCGATATTTCTTCAAATATTTTTTATCATTCTCTGTCATATATTCAATATTGAAGCAGGTTCAGTTTCGTACACCTTCTGCTTTGAATAGCCCCATGAAAAAAAGAATAAGGGTGTCAAATCTGGCGAGCGGGCTGGTCATTCCGTGGGACCTTGATCAGTTAACGACCGGGGAAAGTATTATTCAGATAGTTTCCAACTTGTCTAGAGTGGTGTGTTGGTAGTCCATCTTGTTGGCATACAATATGTGCTTGTATTCAGGCAACCACTAAATGTTCCGCCATTTTGTAGTAGGTGAAGAAATTGGCTGATTGAATATCGAATGTTTCACTCCAACAGAGAACAGAGCGTCACTTTTAATCCTCATAAAATAATGTACAGTTTGGTGCCGCATACAGAGGCCTTTTTTATTACTCACATCGTGGGTAGAGAAATACTCGAAGAAGGTAGCGAATCCTTCATTCAAGAATATTTCAGACCACCATTCCATGGTCACCAAATTTCCGAACCATTGATGGGCAAGTTCATGTGCTATAACTGTTGCTATACGTTGTTTTTGAAGGTTGGAAGAATCTTCAGGGTCCCATAACAAATTTTCTTCTCTGTGAAGTAATTACCTTCATTTTTTATTTTTTGTAATAATTGTATTATGAGTGGTTGAATAGGTATAAATAAAATAGGGTGTTTTACAATCCTGTTGGCAAAAGAGATTTCTGATATGAAAAACGTGTACAAGACATGAATGAGTCAATGAGTCAAAAGCTCATACTCTCAACAAATTTATAGCTATTGTGGATGTGGAGAGATATAAAATGTAGACTTCAAGCACAAAGATACCAGAATTTTGTGTAGTTAGCTGATAGCGATATAACTATTAGGGAAAGGTAGAATTAGGAATAGCAAAAAATATAATTGAAGCAAAACACATACCTATGAGGCGACAAAATAGCTGTAAATTGAGACAACTTCAAATTGGTACTTTGCACAACACAGACAACACTCTGACATCACTGCATCTTGAATGCACCTAAAAAGCTTCGAATGAATCAATGTCAACCAAATTATGAAAATATCAGATAATAATTCGATTCAGCACTCACAAGCTGCCTGCTTTTTTATTAGTAACCTATGGACCCACTTACCACCTGGGCAAAATCACCATCACCACAGATCGTCTATGTTCATTGATCATGAACAAGATTATCAGAGGCAATCAAATTACCTACTGAAAGTATCTACCAAATCCAAATTTTGTACCGGATTTTTAGGGCATTTCGAGGTTAATGACAATAATAATAACATGAATATACTTAAATTATGTTTCCTATTTCTTATATATATTGTCCCATTCAATCATGAAATAGTCATACGAATACAACTCGTGATACTATTTTTCCAGGAAATATTCGTCGATTGACGAATATTTCCGGCAAAATATTATCACTTGTGGTATTATACATGGTGAGTCATAACTATTGGGACATAGGCAAAGGGCGGATTGTTTGGACTAAAATATGGCGATTGGACCAAACATGCCTTAATAAAATATTGCTGTGAAAAGAGAAGGCGTTAAAGTTGATTTTTTTCGTTTTTTGTCGGTTTTTTGCTAATAATTTCACTGTATATGAAATAAATTCAAAAACGTTTTTTGATTTAGTTGATTTCTGCCTAGATATTAGAGATTTTACAATTCATACCTTCTGGCTGCATCCCGCATTTATTCATTCATAAAATGATTGTGACGAGACATTTCAATCGAAAAAATTTTGACTATAAACTCGCACCAAAATTCATTCTCTGACAAGAAATGCCATTACCAGCAATACCAGCAACATTATCTGACAGTTCAAAGCACACTCTTCATGAATGAAATAATATTTGTAATTACCTTCTGAGACTCTGAACTGTTCAATATCGTCGTTTTTCTCGAAAACGGATGAAAATATCGTGTGCAAACAGGGGTACCAATATTACGTAGAAATGATGTTTAGGTCATATTTTTTATTCAAAATCACTCAAAAGTTTCGTCAAAAGAAGTAACCAGGCGATTTCATCATCAGGAATCATTCACGTGGCGCCCCCTGTATCAAAATGTAGAATAATACATAAAATAATATTCCCTGTATGAAATTATTACTCTGTGCCAATTTTGATAACAATTGATGAATATACAGTGGAATTATTGGCAAAAAACGAAAATGAAAAGTCAACTTCAACGCCCCGTATCTTTTTCCACAGCAATATTCTATAAAGGCATATTTAGTCCTATCGCCATATTTTGGTCCAAACAATCCGCCCTTAGCCTATGTCCCAATAGTTATGACTCACCCCTCACCCTGTATATGATAATTTTTGCGTCAGTACGTACTCAGTAGGTGAAAGATTTATCCCGATTTTGGAATTCTGTAAGAATGATAGATAGACTATAATGTGTGAAAGTATACCTACCTGTATGTAACTAATCCCCAATTCTCCATAGCTCCAGCCGAGAAATCTGGTATAGCAATTTGATCCAGCTTAGACATATATTGGTTATAATTGATTTGCGTATAGTTGTTGAGGCTTGCCAGCACTTGTGGTCCTATTTCTTCTGCCCAGTTCCTCGTTGAATTTGCCTCTTGTCTTGAGCAAATTCTGTGTGCAACATTGTCGATTTGTGCCGGTGTGTTTGTACAATCGAAATCGGAAATAACGAAAGCAATCAGGTAGGTAGACATACGAGGTGTTCTTTCAAAATTTACTTCTAGTAATCTGAAATAAAATCATGAAAAATAAAGATAAGGCACTTTCGTCATGCCAAATATTATTTCTTTTCGAATATTGAAACATTTGTATACCTAATCATTTCGGCCTCAGCCAAAATGAAATCAGAGTTTGATAGAGGTTTTGAGTAATACCTACCTAATAGAGTCACTGGGTGGTATTACCAGATATTAACCCTATGCATTATCTACATACATACAGGGTGTTCCAAAAAAAAATAACCCCCTTGCTGAGGTAGGTAGAACATTGCAAAATAAGTTGGGTTTGCTCAGTAAAAAAATATCGTAACGCCATTCGTTTTCAAGACACAAGGTGTTGAAATAATTTTTTTTTACACATTTTTTACGATTATGCCGAAACTACTGGCAACATTGTGATGAAATTTCGTATGGATGTTTCTTGGAATCTGACACATCGCATGCATTTGTTTTTATATCTGACTCTCATAGAGAGCGCTAGTTACACGGTTCGTACCGAGTAGTTTTGAACATAACTTTTTTGAGGTTAGATTTTTCAATCTAAAACTCGATACGGTGTTCCGTTTTCGGAATATTTCGATTTGAAAATGATGAAGTGGTAACTGTTGCTGATTTATAGATATGTATTAGAGTGAGTATTATGAAAAATTATCACCCATTTATCGAAAACCGAAAACAACAATTCATTTCTGATGAAAAACTTATTGATTTAACAATGAATCACAAGAATAACATCGAAACAGATTTGACTAAGAACATGGATTACACAGTTTTGTTGTATCTTGAGCAGAAAGTCTCTACATAGGTAAATTCACGTCAAGAGTTGTGAGACATAATTGAACATCACTTCAATGACCTATAACAGCTGATCCTCAACTGTTCAGAAGAATAATACATTCTAAAAAATATAATATAGAATCCTGTATGCCTCGAAGAGTAGGACATTTTGAACACTTTTACTCTAACTGATTCAATATTTCATGTTCCTAGTCAAATATCTCTTAATTTTCTACTTATGATTCTTTGTTCCATCGATAACTTCAGCACAAGAATAATCTCATTGTTTTTGAACCTGAATAAATAGGTAATTGAACTCAATAAAATTTATTTTATACCAGCATCATTACTACTCCATTATTTTCAAATCGAAATATTCCGAAAACGGAACATAGTATCGAATTTCACCAGGAGTACCTTTTTGGTGTAAAATTGAATGATGTTCAAGTTCATATCATATTTGGATTGAAAAATCTAACCTCAAAAAAGTCATGTTAAGAACTACTCGGTACGAACCGTGTAACTAGCGCCCTCTATGAGAGTCAGATATAAAAACGAATTCATGCGATGTGTCAGATTTGAAGAAACATCCATACAAAATTTCATTACAATGTTGCCAGTAGTTTCGGAATAATCGTGAAAAATGTGTACAAAAATAATTTTTTCACTGAGCAAACCCAACTTATTTTGCAATGTTCTACCTACCCTAGCAAGGGGGTTAGGTTTTTTTGAAACACCCTGTATAAATGTTAGGATTTTTCATAAATCACTCACCCTTCAACTGCTATTTGTGGTGATGTAGTACTCCTCAAAGAATTTGACAAAGCTGTCATATCTTCAGGAATCCTAAGTGTAATATCGAATTGTGCCTTGAATGCAGGTTCATCGAAACATGGAAATGCCCTTCTTGCGCTAGTGGGTTGGAACTGAGTAGTAGCTAAATATTTTTCAGCACCAGTACTGTTTGTGTAACTGCTCTTATAGAAACCTAGCATGTCGGTTGTACTGAGCATACCTTTAAATGTTATATCCAAAGTATAGTTCGTTCCATGTGTGATGTCTGAAAATTACAAGGCGTTTAATGTTTTTATTATTTGCCAAGATTATGGGGTTCCAGACGAGGTTCAACAAATTATTTTTTCTACAAACGTCAGTAAAAGTATAATTTTTGACGAATGCTGTCACTGTCTGAAATGTCAGTTTATGACACTGGTGTTAAAAGTAAATCACTTTTAGCGCTAGTGCTAATAGTAGATTGTTTTATTAGGATCAAAAGTGACACTTTGTTTGACAAGCGAATTTTGCATTTGCGAGGCGGAGCGTTTAGCGAAGCCGAGCGAAAGCAAAATTTGCGAGTCGAACAAAGTCACTTTTGATCCGAATGAAACATGCTATTTTTTCTGCAACCGAAACAATTAACTCAAATGAACATGTGACGTAACCACCAATGCCGTGCCATATGTATGCAATGCAACAAATATTGACAAATAATCCATGTAGCGAGAATATTCTACCTGCATTAACAGCAGGTTAGGTTTTCTAGGATGTTCGAATTGTAGTTTAAATATAAATACAACCACAAAGTGACATATTTGTGTATGGACCAGGTGCTCTAATGGCAAATACCGCGCCAGTGCTAGCTATAGGAACAAGACGTGGAAAATGTTAGGTTAGTGAGCATATCAACAATGATAATAGTGATTATTTATTCCTCTCCATACTACACTGTGTTTGACTTGATAATCAAATGAAGCTAAACAACATCGTTGTTTGAGACAAAAAACCGATTGCTTGCCGTGATTATTCAAAAACAAGTTATCCATCCCGAGAATAACGAATGAAATACACATCAAGCAAGTATTTGAATCTTGAAGGCTTCCCTGATCAAAACAAAAATACTTAACTGAGATGTTTATAATTCCAATACCAAACTATTATAATAAGGTGTATTTATATCTCCAGCATGGGTATGAAATGCCAAATCTGCTGGAATCGGAAACAAATCAGGTATGCGTCTCAACCCAAATAACCAACCGTCACAATGTTGTTCATTCTCGATGACGTCCAGTACATCCTTTTTAGTTCCTAGGAGCTAAAGTTCAACTTTAGCTCCTAGGAACTAAAATTCAACTTCAGCTCCTAGGAACTAAATATGTTGCCTAGCAACATACCTATTTTTGTGTCAGTAATAAAAATGTCAATTTAAGAGCTAATTTTGGTATCAAAATGGACGACTTTTGTGTCGGTTGCAGAAAAAAGTGATTTATTTTTATCAGAAAATATGTAAACATAATTCAAAATGAAGAGTTTATTCAATGAAAAGTACAATTAGCGAAACTTCAATTATAATACGAAACTCCATGGCCAGTCTCGGTACGAAGGGATGGAACACTCCGCCTTCGGCGTCGTGTCCCAAACTTCCCTTCTCACAAAATAAAATATCACTTTTAGCACTTATATCATAAATAACTATTATGTTAATGTTGCACAATTTATTGAATTTTTATCCGCGATGCCAAATGTCGCAACTACTTATCTGGAACTTGTTGGTTAATTATAAGAAATTATCAGATACATTCCGCGTGAAAATTTTGAAAGTGCACTGATTATACAGGGTGGGTCACGGTCGATGGCACCTTAGACGTTTACGGAGAACGGGACATAAGATCATTCTGAAAATTTGGTTACTCAATAATTGCTTTTGATCTATTGATCTAAAATATTTTCAGCTCTGCGGCGTTGCCGCTTCTATCGAAAAGTAGCAACAACTTTGTTATTTTAAATGGAACACCCTGTATTTTATTGCATCTTCAGATTCTCTCTGAAGAGCTGATTTCATCGATGTATCACACTTGGGGTCTAGCGGAAATGATTACAGAGATATAGGGTGTGAAAAATCGACATTTTTCAACTTTAGGAATTTTTTTTGTCGAAACTATTCATTATTGGTCAAAACGGCTCACATGTCCCTATCCCAACTTTTGATCAACTATCTACTGACATTTTATTGAAACAAATACAGGGTGGTGCAGAATTCAGATTCTTGATCACCCTGTATGTATATGTCCCAATTAAATATCAGTAGATAGTTAATCAAAAGTTGAGATAGGGACATGTAAGCCGTTTTGACCAATAATGAATAGTTTCGACAAAAAAAATTCCTAGAGTTGAAAAATGTCGATTTTTCACACCCTATATCTCTGTAATCATTTCCGCTAGACCCCAAGTGTGATACATCGATGAAATCAGCTCTTCAGAGAGAATCTGAAAATGCAATAAAATACAGGGTGTTCCATTTAAAATAACAAAGTTGTTGCTACTTTTCGATAGAAGCGGCAACGCCGCAGAGCTGAAAATATTTTAGATCGATAAATCAAGAGCAATTACTTGAGTAACCAAATTTTCAGAATGATCTTATGTCCCGTTCTCCGTAAACGTCTAAGGTGCCATCTACCGTGACCCACCTTGTATATTACCTACAACTTACTTTGGTGTATCGTCATGATGTCTGTGATGTTATTGAACGAAGTGGATGCAGTGACATTAGCTTCAGAGACATTGCCGAATGAAGAGAGAAATACAGATTGTATATCTAGATACTGACGGTTCACATGAAGTTCAATTATTGAACTATCATTGATGACACTGAATTCTATGCTAACATTTCCATTATATGCATTATCAGTGGCTGTAAAAACATTTTGTGGAAATGTCAAGTCGATAATGTACAAGTACGGCCTGTAAATGGGTTGTAATCGGTAATTTAGTGGTGCTTCTGGTGTTTGTAGAAAAACGCATCTCGCCGTAGCAAACAATATCAGGATAGAAGGAAATAATACCATCTTCTCCTGAAAATTCGACAACCATTAACAAAAATCAATTCACTATTTCATAATATCTACCTATGAAAACCTATATTATATGCATATTTGGTGGTAAATTTATCATATATGATCATTTTATCATATCATCTTTAATATCAATATACAATTAGAGATTAATTCTGATGAAAGGATATGGTCATATACCTAGATAACATTATATTGGAGATGAAGCAAATAAAATATTCAGCTCAAACAAGTATGAGAATATATGAGTATATCGTATAAAATCCCCTTATTTGAACTGATGAATTCCAAAGACTCATATTTATAATCTCCCATCATTTTCATATCAGATGTCAATAAACGGGGGATTGATTTTGATAGATGGATTCTTATAAATAAGTAACATATTAATTATCATCAGGATCGAATTACATTGATAAAGTATTTTTTATTTCGGGCGAAAATTCAGTTTCAAGAATACATATTATACCTACCCTGTATCAAAAACAAAGTGTCTCATTTTAACAAGGGAGAATCAAGACCCTGCAGATTCCTGGAATAAAATAGACTGAACGCTGATTGGGCAAAACTTATTTATGTTGCTGAGTTCCGGTGCTAATATAATATGGTTTCATAGATCTTGAAGAATAATATTTTTTGAGATCTCTTGAAACTCACGCGATTTTCCATCAATCTATTCACTTTGTAAAGTATGTAAATTAATTCTACTTTTTCACAGAAATATTCATGATTATTGACATTTCTGCAAGTCTTAAACTATCAATTCCAATGATAAAATGAAACTTGTTTGGAAATGTTTATTACATCAATGAATACACTCAGTTCCAAAAAAAGTGACGCACTTGATATTTGACCTATCTTCTTAAAAACAAATAGTAGGCCGATTTTTATTTTTTTTATTTGTTGGTAGGTAATGCATTTGTCTTCAGAAGAAAATAAAGAGGTGAACATTTTTTCAAAGCCTCCTTGATGGCGGTGGAATAACTCGAACCATGATTTATTCTTAATTTTTGACTCGCCCTGTGTGTTAATTGAGTAATGGCATAGAAAGTGCTTACACCCTATACGAAAGAGGCTTCTTTTGCGAGCATTTTGTTTTTTTATTCATTGATTTATCTCTAAAATTTTCCAAATTACAGTTTTTTTGCTGATACCTTACGCTCATCCCACAAATTGAATTTATTGAAGGATCAGAGTACTCAAAATTGATTGGGTTGTACTCTGGTAGGATCATCACATTGTCTTTAAAAAAACAAATGCCGTTGCCATAGCAACTAATTTGTTGTTTGCCTCCATATTTGACCATTTGTCGTTAATTTCCAGTATGCCTCGTAGATTAGAAGTTCTTAGAGTTGTTAGAGGATGCAATACACGGTATTGAGCAGTCATCCCAATTTATAATTTCGTGTTTAATAAAAAATGTTTTTTAAAATTATTGGTATCAGTTTATTTCATTAGAAAATTGTTTCTCGATAAATTCAGAAAGTTGGAAATCTGCAAGGATTCAGCAAAAAAAGCTGTAATTTGGAAAATTTTAGAGATAAATCAATGAATAAAAAAACAAAATGCTCGCAAAAGAAGCCTCTTTCGTATAGGGTGTAAGCACTTTCTATACCATTACTCAATTAACACACAGGGTGAGTCAAAAATTAAGAATAAATCATGGTTCGAGTTATTCCACCGCCATCAAGAAGGCGTTTAAAAAATGTTCACCTCTTTATTTTCTTTTAAAGACAAATGCATTACCTACCAACAAATAAAGAAAAAAATCGGCCTACTATTTTTTTTTTTTTAGAAGATAGGTAAAATATCAAGTGCGTCACTTTTTTTGAAACTGAGTGTATATTTCGTATCCTTTCATTAATATTAAGAACTCTACTTCCCAAGTAGGTTTTCTATAGGTATTCCTAAAATATTATTCATCAGTAAGGAATGCGTAATATCTATTATTCATATTCAAAGTTTGTTTGAATGGTAGTGCCTTTTTGATAAAAAATTTCAATGAGAATTCTACATAGGCATAACAATAATAAAATAGTTGGTTAATACAAGGTAGGTATATACATTGTGTAATCAAAAGTAGTTTATTGCATACCTAGCCAAAAAATTAATTTGAAAGAACACACTCTTACCTTCATAACGGAAAACTCACTATATAACTCAACAATAGCACTAGAATAATATATATTAATTGATATGATATGAATATTATCAATACTTTTCATTAATCTATAGGATGAGCCCTAATCATCTATACAAATAGTGATAAAGGTATTAAGCTCTGAAGCAATAGGTAATCCTATAATAAATTATTATTACTGTTTTTTTATAGTTACACGAAATGGCAGATTATATTTTAGCCAGTAATTTTGTGTCATTTTCAAATGAGAGAAAAATGTATTACTGAAACGGCTAATGAAATATAGGCTATATGCCTATATGAACTATCGACAGTTAAAACTTACCCCTTGAGTATATACAGCGTGTCTCACTTTAAACGGCCCGCCCTCTATATCTCAGTTATTAGTCATGTGATCCCAACCAAATTTGGTGTGGTATAAATAACCATCAATATGATAAGTTTTAAAGAGATGCACATTATTTTGGACAGTGCCGTGCGTTTTTATTGAACTAAAAAGGGGTCGATTTTTCATTGCAATGAAAATGCACGGCACTGTCTAAAATTATGTTTGACTTTAGAGAACTGGTCATATTGATGATTATTCATACCGATACAAATTTGGTAAAGATCGCACGACTGATAGCTGAGATATAGAGGAGGGCCGTTGTACGCTGTACATAATGTCGTAGCCACGAAATAAATGAATTGAAAGTAAAAATATTAATGTTAAAGCCACCCCCATGAAAGAGACAAACTAACATAAATTTTGATATTGTCATTGAAAAATACCCCAAGATACCAAATTCCATTCCAATATCACAATTATTTTGAAATTTATTAACAAAAAACAAAAATAAGATTTCAACTTTGACACTCTTTATCTCAGAAACGGATAACTTTCGGACATATGTTTATACGAACTTTTCTTCTTATTTAGACGTCAGCAACATGCTCCTGAATTTTCTACACGTACTTGAGAAACACCCTGTATATCTACGAATTTTACAAATAGAAATGATATGATATCGGTCTCTTCCAGGCATATGAAGGTATATTATTACAATAGTTAATACAATTAAAATAATTTACATTTAGTTTCTAGGTAGGATTAGGAAAAAGGAATCATGTAATTAGGACCTGGACGTCCTGTTTGAATTTCTTCCTCAATAAATAAATTAATAAATATATGATCATAAAAGTTTGTCGTGATGATCAATATTCAATTGAATTGAAATTTTAAACATTCAAACTTGGCAAATTTTACATTATCTAGTATCTAGTACTAGTTTATTTACACAATTTTAATATTATTCCGAGTATTTCTCCGGTTCTTCAAGAGGTATCAACTCGCGGTTTTCACCATTTTTCTTCTCGTTTACTTCACACTTTCATATCATAGCAGGACAAATATATGGTTTCAATTGAAATTCTCGAAAAAAATGGCAAATCGGCTGATTTTTTAAACGATGCCATCTAGCGGCCACCACGGGATTTAAATCGACTTGATTCGTGATTTATCGGGAAGATCTGAAAAAACCCTTCATAATGAGACCAAGATCGCTTAATTCCGTTACACCAAACTGTAGTAATAGGAGTTTTTTCAAAGTACCATTCATCCTTCCCTCCCTCTTTCATTTAAAGAGCTAGCGCAATATTTTTTGATGGAAATGATTGGAAATCAACTCGAGAACATGAGAAAAGTGTTTTTGATATGTCTTGATATATCAAATTTTCATAAAATCCCGTTTATTAAACTGGCCAATGCAATTACGCCCTCTAGGGGCTGTCCTGGAAACTTGAAAATAATTTCCAGAGATTTTTCTTGGCCACTTTTATCATGAATATTTTTTTCCAAAACCTGTGCGGCAAATAGTTTCCGAGATACAGCCGGCGTCCTTTCTTAATAGTGGTACACCCGGCTTTATGTTTTTGGTTATCACCAAAAGCTTTTTAAAAAATGAATTTATTTATTGAACACAAAAATGTCGAAGTTTTATAAGAGAGAAAATTACAATGCGTCTTTACTGTGTGAAGTCTATGTCAAATCTGATGAGAACTAGTCGGTGAACGTCTCGTTTCCTGCAAAGCGTAAACTGATTCTGCATCCGTCAGCGGTCTCAGCATATCCCGTGAGAACATGGTAGCTTATGATGTTCCCATACATAATTCCTCCACCCTTAGAAGGAACTCGAGGGTGGAACCACTTGAGTTGCGTTGACTGCTACCCTAGTGACTTCTTCTGGCGTGGAACAGACTACTCGTTTGGCTAGGCTTGCTATCTTTCTTCGGTGGGTGGCTAATAAGTAGACTAACATCGTGGTAACCAGGAATAGGGTGACTGTTAAGGACCATCTTGAATGATCGGAATGAATTCTAACTTCTTGTAATGGTGTTTCTTCTAACTCTTGCAGTTGAAGTTCGTGCAACTTGTCAAGAGATACTTTTTCTAGCTTAAGTGTCTTGATTTGTAGTATTGGAATTTTTTTTTTCACGAATTTCTTCTAGCGTCATTGGATGTCCTACTATTAGGCCTTTTTCGTTTTTGTACGTGTATTCCGATGTCTTGATTCCACAATCTGGCGGGACTATGAATAGGTAGCTTCCACGAAGTATGGCAACGTCGTTTTCTTCGCAGAAAATCTGTATCTTTTCGTTTTCGGGAAATATTCCTATGTAGTGGCTTTCATTGATTTCTTCTATGATGTGTTGAGATACTCGTACTGGGACTTGTTGGCAATTTTGAATGCTGTTTTCGACAGAAAGCAGTGACGTGATACAATCGGGGTTTTGTCGAAGTGGTAGTAGGTGGTTCTTCTTGCAGAGGAATCCTGGCTGTAGCTCGGTACATTCTTCATCTGAGTACTGGTATTCATTGTTGCTTAAGGATAGGTATGTCGAGGGAGGTATAATGATTGACTGGTTTTGGTTTGGAATAGAATATAGGTGGTAATAGTCAAAGGTTTCGGAATGAACTAACGGAAAATCGAGCGAAAATATTATTTTCCTATTCGAGTAGAAAACACTGGTTCGAACAATGTCGTAATATTTTAGGTAATCTGACAAAGAAAATAGTAGTTGAGATTCGCTATGTGACTGATGTAATTGAGATATTACGGATTTTAATTCATCAGGGGAAATAATGCTGTGATGTAAAACTTTTAAGTTAGCGAAGCTTATAGCGTTTTCAAGTTCTGATAAAAAATGCAATAAAAGGTCAGCGTTTATTTTGATTTGGCTAAGAATGTCTTGAATTCCTAAGTAGTGTGCGTAATTGAATTGTGTTTTATTTAGAACAGTTCTCAACTCTTCAAATTTGTTTTCTATTTCATTTTGATTTTGAATTGTTTTGGACAAAGTATCATTTATATTCGACATAAGTTCTTTAGCGAGAGAGATTTGTTTGTTTACCTTCTTTATAATATTATTTTGGCTATTTTCGAGCTCGGAAATGCTATTATGAATTTCATTGGCGTCCTCGTTGTCCATATTACCAGTGACAAATTTCATAAGAGAACCAAGCGGATTGATCAGTCCTCTTCTGAGTCTATTTTCAGGAAATAGCGAGGTGATTTTTTCGTTCAAAGTATTGATTTCGTATTCCAAATGTTTATGAGCATTATACAATGATTGTTTATAAAATGAAGTAGCATTGTCAATCATTTTTCCAAGTCTGTAGTAGTGGTTTGTAATTGAAGTACTTTGGGTTTTAATAGGGTCAGTATGTATGTAATGAATGAAAGTGTGGGAGGCAATTTTGATGCGGGCGTTTCCTAATTTGAAAGGAAGGATTCCGGGATTAGTTTTGAGGTTCCGAATTTGAACTTTCTGTGTCTTCATTAGGGGAAGAATCGTCAGCCTGTAATAATGTTTTGTCAATGAATTTTCTAGGAGGTTTGAAAATGTTTTTGTGATATGTGTTCTGAGGTGTAGTCACTGTTAAGTCAGTACTTTTGATGATGTGTTCTGGTTTGTAGTTAGGGTTTGTCTTTAATTGTCTGTCTGTTAATTTCCTATATCCAGTAGTTTCGGGTTGAATGTCAGGTGGGTCATTTCGGGTTTCGTTTCTTTTGTTAATGACTTGTTCTTTCTGTAATGCCGTTTTGTCGTGTATCGTTTTGTATAAATTTGCCATAATTTCTTTATGTTCGTTTAGCTGGTGATTGATTGGTCGTGAGTCAAGATCGATATCGATCGGATCTTTGAGCTCTAGATGTCCTAGTATTAAGTCAATGGGTTTCTGTTTGGTTGCCGAATGAATTGAATTATTATATCCTAAAACTGAAAAGGTGAGTTTTTCGAAAGGGTTTAAGTTTGGTTTTGTCAAGGTCAGAGTACGCATGTGTTCTAGTATAGTGGAATGAAATCGTTCAACAATGGAATTGCTATTAGGGTTGAGAGGGAGAGTGTAGTGCCAATTAATATTATATATTTTTGCAAAGTCTCTAAGAAGGTGTTGTGTAAATTCGGTGCCATTATCAGATATTATATTTTCTGGAATTTTATATGTTGAAATGAATTGTAATAATTTTTCATAAACAAATAGAGCAGAAAGACTAGGGATTAAGTAAGCTTGTCCAAAACGGGAAAAGCTATCACAAATAGTCAAAGATATCGAATTGCCAAATTTAAAGGTGTCAATATGAATTGTTTCAAATGGTTTTTTCGGAGTAGGCGTAAGTTGAAGTTTGATCAAAGGTGGATGTCTTTCATATTTGACTTGTTGACAGATGTTACAATTATTTATGAATTTTTGAACATCTTCGCTCATTTTCGGCCAATAATATTGGGTTTTGAGCTGATTGACGGTTTCCAGAATTCCACGGTGATTAGTGATACCTTCGTGTTGACTTTTGATTAATTCTTGTTGTCTCTTAGTTCTGCTTATATCGTGAAGAAGTTTGTTAGATTTCAGGAATTTATACGAGGAGTTCTTGAATATTTGTGGAACAAGTCTGCACATTTGTTTGAAAAATTCATCATTATCGTCGTTTTGGAAGTAAAATGCGTATTGTCTAGTTGGTCTGGCATATTGTTTTATAAACTGAATAATTTGTTCTTCGAAGGACTCGTTAGTAACATATAAATACCAACGAGTACGACTAACAGGATT